CTAGAATGGTAATGACAGCAATTATTATAATAGAAAACTCTTCTGATGGAGTACTTGCTGTGTTCCCGGCTCTGTGATGGGTGCTTACTCAGTTGCGCTGTAACCCTAAGGAGTTGGTACTGTTTCCCCCAAGCCAGTTTTATTGAGGAGGAAGTCGAGGTGGGGAACTAACTGGTGCCAGCTCTTACCACTTAAGGGGTGGGGGTGGGGGAGCAGTGCTACAGCACCAGTCATGGAGATCTAGTTTCCAAGTGCCTACTGTGTGCTGCGAGTCAGGTGTGCGTCGGGCTTCCACTAACAAAAAGAAAGCTGGCCCATGCCCTGGACTGCTTGAGAGCTACAGCCCAGACTGTCAGGCAGGAGTTCTTGGGGGGCAGCAGGAATGAGAGGGAGGAAAGAGCTGGAGGACAGCAAGGCCCAGGGCCTGCTGGGCAGCTCTGCCACTGCAGATATGTCTCCTGGATCTGAGTCGGACACGGAGAGTGGCACAGACAACATGGTGGGCTGTCTCTGTTATCTGTTGTCGGGCTCCATGGACCCCAAGAGAAAAGTGGGACATCTACGGCCGCAGGAGAGGAGGTGGTGAGAACGTGATGCAGACAGAGGGAGAGGGCTGTCAGCCACAGACTCCCTGCAGGAAGCAATCACCATCATATGCCTCTGAATTCTGCAGTGATGGTCTTCCAATCTCCTCTTGCCTGTGTTCATGCAGTGCTCGCACCAGACCTCGGAGGTGGATACCCAGCCGCCGCATGTGATGCGAACACTGAGGCTTAGGAAGATGACGAGAGTGGCCTCTGGTCACACAGCTAAGTGGGGGTAGAGCCAGGCTTAGACACCCAAATCTTCGACTCAGACTCCAGTGCAGACACCCCAGGGGTCTCTGCGTGGCAGGAGATAACCCTTCCAGGGGCCGTCAGGAAATCTGAGACAAATCAACAGTGGGTATGAGCTGCGGAGCCAGGAGAGACCCAGAGCTCAGTCAGTGCTCACGGAAGGAAGAATGGTGGACATCCTGGGAGACTGGGCTGGATGTGCATCGGGGGCAAGGAGGACCTTGCATCTCTTGGGTACCTATTGCAGGATGCTGCGGAGGAGTCCTTGAATTCCAAGAGAGTTCAGAAGAAGAGGTAAAAATGGGCAAACTAGCCAAGAGAAGGGCAAACCCCTAAGAGTCAGTATTGCAAAGCACAGGCTGCTGCTTCTAAGAGACCAGCTGAGAGTAACAGGGGGCCCTTCTGGACCCTAACTCCTCATCCTGAAGTCACTCCCCTGCAAGCTGGGAGGCCAGGTCCCCATTGCAAGATCTCTGCCTCTTCAACCCAGGGGTGGGAAGCAGGTTGGTCATGGAAAGTGGGGGAAGCGGAGGCCCTGATGTTTTGCAGTCCCCTGGAATGCCCCTCCCTTAGAGCTGGGGTCTTCAAACCTGGGAATCATCTGGGAGCTTCAAACAGAGTGATGGGGATGGGGGGGTAGGGGCATCCGGGCCGTGGATCTTACTGTCCTTAAGGGTTTAGAAAGCTCTCCTGGGTGATTGCAATTTTCAGTCGCAATTAAAAATCAGAGAGAGAGAGAAACCAGCAAGAGAGACACTAAATGAGGGAAATGCGTGGTGTGGGTGGGTAGTGTTGGTGAGAGGAGAAGGAGGAGGAGGAGGAGGAAGGAGGCTGTAAGATGGGAGGTAAGGCCAAGGCCAAGCAGCTTCCCTGGCTCCCTGGGAGCGTGCGTGTGTGTTTCTCTCCTCGCAAAGACTCTGAGAAGGACTTTGATCTTAGAAACACTCACCAGGCCAGCGCCCTGCTCTGGCCTTGACAGTCCTTTCTAAGAGGCTCCTTCCTAGAAACACATCCACTGATAAATACCTGAAAGGTGGCCCAAGTCACATATCCACATCAGCTTCTCCGCATTCTTGTCTCCAGTTGGGGCTCCTGAGCATACACACACACACACACACACACACACACACACACACACACACATCGCCCCCCAGCCACCCCTCCCTGGCCCCTACTCTCCACTTGGCTTGGCACACTGGGCCACAGGCTGGTCCTCTGGTTCCAGTCAGACATTAGGACTCAGGAAACGGCTCCCTGGGGTGCTCCGAAAGTCCACGCAGGCTGATAGGCAAGCAGGGGCCCCTTGCCCCAGTGCAGCACTGTGAAGCCCCAGGGGCGTCCTGGTTACATGTTGGGCTGCATCCACAAGGTCTGAAGCGCAAAACCCCCAGCTGCTCCGAGGAAGAATGATGGGGCTCTCTACTCCCATCAGCAGTTACAGCCTCAGAAACCCCCAGGGGCGGCTCTCCCCTGTCCTAGGCGGTAGCTATGAGCCAGCATCAACCGCTGGTAATCCTCACCCCTGTTCTAATCCCCACAGCCCACCCACAGCCCTTTCCTCTGTGGATCGGGCTCCCGCCTCTGTCCCTCTCCACCCCAAGGCCAGCAGACAGCTCCGTGGGGGCTCCAGCCCGCTCCCCTCGGCACCGGCACCTCAGCGAACGAGTTGGGCCTTCTCAAGCAGGTTTATTTCCCTGCAGCCCGATAAAAGCAACTTCATTAGAAAAACCACATACTCCACTGAGCTGGAGCTGCCGGAGGCTCCAAACAGCAGGAGGGATCCAGAGAGATGCTGCCTGCATAATGAGGCCTCCGAGCCTGGCAGCCAGCCTCCTCACTCGCCTCACCCTCCTTTCTCCTCCTGGGTCCCCTTTGAGCCCCAGCTCAGTGTCCTTCCTCATCTGCCTCCTTCTCTGCTTCCACCTCCCTCACCTGCAGCTCCCACGGGAGTGTCAGGGGCCCCCCAGTTCCGAGGGAGGGGCGTGAAGGTAGCCATTTCCCTGGACTAGTTCCTACCTCCACGGGGCAGTGAGCAGGCAGGCTGGCCTAAACCTCCCCCAGCCCAGGGAGGCATCCCCCCCCCATCAGGCATATAAAGAAACACAGACTTAGAAATCACAGACTTGCCGGGCCACCTCCCTCCCGGGGTCTCCAGAGTTGATACCCAAAATAGAGAGTGCATCGTCGGCTCCAGGGGGTATTGCAAAGATGAGTTGATTCCATCTTAAAGTCCTCAGACTCCTGCCTTCGACAAGGTTCCCTGTGAGCAACCGAGGCTGTCAGTGGAGGGTCTTAGCGCGTGGCCGGGATGCGGAACAAGCTCTCGGCAGAGTTTCCAGGTGGAGACAGGCTAGGGTGAAGAGTCTGGGGGTCTGGTTCTAAGACCGAGCCAGGGAAGCCCTCACATCACAGAGCACAGCAGTCAGCCCACGAGCGACCACGGGTGGGGGGCTACCCCTCGGTCTGCGATGGCCCTGCTAGCCGTGAGCCAGGGCCAACCCAGGGACAGGGAACCGCACTGTTATTGCTATGATCGTGGGACCTGGCCCAGCGAGTTCTCTGAGCGTGGGGGCTTTAAGGCTGCTTGCTCACACCCTTCTGGACACCGGCTTTCAGCAACAGCCTCGGCAGATTCAAGAGCTTTCCACGGTCACTTCCAGCAATGTGAAGTGGCCCCTGGAGCTTTTCCAACCCCAGCCTGGCACCCTGCCCGCCCCTGGGCTCCTCCCCTGCTCTCATGCTGTTGCCCGTGATGGGGATGGGGAGGGGGCATGTAGCCCTCCTCCCACTCCAGCTCAGGGTGAGGCGGGGTGGGGTGTGGGGTGTGGGGGTGTCAGTCCTGGTCTCTGGGCATGGCCACCCCTCGTCACTTGTGGCCTGGAAAAAGCCCAGCCAGTCCTGGATGCCATTGGCATGACAGGCCTACAAAGGTGGTCTTCCCCTGGGACATCCGTTTGGATTCTTCAGGGGGCCTGAGCACCCTGCCCCCTGAGCATGGCTCCCCGACCTGAGAGACCAGGCTCCAGCCTCACTCCTTGAAGACCCACCCTTAGTTCCTGCCCCTGGGAAACAGCCCATTGCTTCATACACGGTGAGGGAGGCCCTGCCCCAGCAGGCAGCCCACGAGTGATCAAATGCTTGTCCTCACAGGCTGCTTCCCAGCTGCCCTCTGCCCCACCAGTGCCCTGACGTCTCCAGAGAGGCTCTGGGGAGCACCCCCCTTCCCCATCAGCAAGGCCACAGCCTGGGCAGGTGTCCCTGGGAATTGGCATGCCAGACTCACCCTCTTGCAGGTACCCCAACGTCGATGAGCTATTCTCTCCACAAGTACCATGGAGCCACTGTGCTCTGGACACAATTCCCTCCTCCTCCCTCCCTCCTTCCCAGGCTCCTTTGCATTTCAAGAAGAGGGCTGGGGTGAGGGTTGTAGGCAGCAAGGCCTTGGGTGGGAGGGGGGGCAGCTCTGCTTCAGAGAAGGGGGTACACGGTGCCCCTGGTACCACTTCCAGGGACAATCCCACTCCACCTCCTATGCACCCAGGTGACCCATTTCGGGAAGAAGCCAAGATGGAGCTGTGAGGGAGAATCGGCAAGGGGAAGCCGGGCCAGACCAGAGAGCACATGACAGACTGTGGCCCTGGGCCGGACCCCTGGTAACACAGAATAGCTAAAATCTGTCCCTGAAGTTAGCATTGCCAGAGAGACAGCTTGTTTGGCCTGAGTCAGGGTGGGGGTGGGGGTCATCTGGGAGTACCCACTGAGCACCATGCCAGGGCTGGCAGACATGACTGTGGCAGAGTGCTTCAAATCGATAGCTCCACTCAGCACACCCCAAGAAACGGTCTTTGCTGCGGTCTTGGGAGGCTGGCCACCACCCTAAAAGGAGTCCCCGCTCCAAAGGCCACCCAGGTGTTGGGCGGAGGCTGTGGGGCCCGTGGAAGGAGGGCCAGCCTGGGACTCAGAAGTCCTGGCTTGGGTCTCGGTTCTTCCACAAACTGTGTGTCCTGGGGCAGGTCACTAACGCTCGCTTCACAGGTGGTGGTCGGAGTTGGTGACAGGTCAGGTGTGGACACACTGCCCTTGAGCACTGGGCTGACATGGAGGCTGGTGGGGGGCATGTTACCAGAGGGGACAGCCTCCCCACAGCTGTCCCTCTCTCCCCAGACGTTCCGGTGGCCGGTGGCCAGCAGCATCGACAGCAGTGAGATGCTGGAGATTCAGATCTTCAACTACAGCAAAGTCTTCAGCAACAAGTAAGTATGGCGGGCAGGGAGAGGCGGGGGCTGCAGGTCCTGGGACCTGCCTTCACCTCGGACTCCTCGCTCCTTGGGGCTTATGGGCTGGGGAGCTGCCCTAGACTGATCTCCCAAAGGCCAAAGAGGTTTCAGACTGGTCCTCAGGGTGCCCCAGTCCGTCAGCTGGGAACACCCCCTCTCGTGGTGCACCCTTTCCATCTCAGCCCCCTCAAATCTTCCCGCCACCTCCCTTGGTTCAGGCTGGGGCATAGTTAGCCATCAGAGGAGTAGAAGGTGTAAAGGCTGGTACTGTCCTCTAAGACCATCCTGAGGGCAAATGGGGGACACCGGCGGAGGACCAGAGGCTGCTGGGCAGTTTGGGATCGGGGCCTTGGAGTCGGACAGGCCTGGTCTCAGCTCCTGCATTACCTTGGGCGAGTTACATGACGTCTCTGAGTTCGATGGACTCACAGGGGAAAGAAGATTACGTGTTTTGAAAGGGAGCTTCGAGGACCAAGTGAGTTAGGGAGGCATTCACTCATCCATTCATCCATCCGTTCGGCGTGTACTAAGCACCCCGTTCATCTCACACACCCTGGACGGGATCTCAAGAGACTGGTCTCTGCAGAGGGACTCTGTGCTCCATCAAGCAGAGGGTCCGTGGGAAAGAGGAAGCCCCATGACGAGACGGATGGACTCCAACGCGACAGGTGAGGGTACCGCAGGACCGGGCCGTTTCTTGTTCTGTTGCCCACGGGGCTGCTACGAGGCAGGGCCGACTTGGCGCTGAACCAGGTGCAATATACAGATGCATAGTGCCCATCTGGACAGAGCCCGGCTCGGAGGGCTTACAGTCAGGCGGGATTAGCCCGCCCCCTCGCGCCCCCCCGACTTCTGGAGTTGGGGCTCTGTTTCTCAGAGCCCAAGAGAAAGCTCAGCTTCGGCAAGAGAGCTGAACCCCCTGGTGTTAGCATAGCCCCCACCCCCCAACCTGCTCCCACCACAGCCCCCTGCTCAGTCTCCAGACTCCTTCTCCTGGGCTGACAGAGCTGTGGGGTGGGGGTGCACCCTGAGGTGTGCACTGGGCTTAGTTAGCAACCAGCAAGCTATGCCTGTGGTTGTGCACAGCAGGTGACACGCAACAGACCACGGAGACTGGGGTGGGGTTGGGGGTGGCATTAAGAGAGAGAATGCTCCCCTGGGGCAGGAGGGTCTGGGAGCAGGACTCTGAGTGGCCCCCCTCCTCAGAAGAGTCTGGACACTCCAGGGCAGGAGCCAGAGTCACATGGCTGGGAAAACGGGGCCACCTGTCGATCTGACCCCATTGTCCTAGAGGAGGGGGCAGCTTGGCACCCTCCCCTCAGCCTGCCTGGAGAAGAGACTTATGAAGGAAGAAAGCGCCCTGCGGTAGGGGGTGGGGGGGCACAGCTCTGTGCTGCCCTGAGCAAGTTCCTCTTTCCAGAATCACGGGCTTCCGAGAAGGCCAAGGGGCTGTTCTATGCTTCCAGCTCTGTAGGTCTTGCAGCCTAGACGGGGCTCCCGTAGCCCACCCGCCCAGTCTCTGTGGAAGATGCCAGGGGCCCTGAATAATTCAGGAGCCAAGAGAGTCATGGAGGCCTGACCGGGCCTGGGGCACTTGACACCAGCTCCCGGGGGAGAACGATAAATTATTGACGGGGTCCTGGTGCCCAGTTGCCGCTCTATTGTGGTCAGTCCGAGGGGGCCCCTCCTTGCCGCCTAATTACCTGGGAATCCTACCTGCCCGCCCTGCTCATCAGCTGTGTGCATGCGATGGGCTCTTTGCCATGAGCTGACCTGAGACAGAAGGCCTCCCTGGGGACCAGAGAGGGGGCTGGTCTGAGGATGTGAGGTTAGTTCCTGGACCTTTCACTTACCAGCAAGGAGGAAACTGAGGCCCGCACAGCAGGTTTTGGACCCAGACCTCCTGACCGCAGAACAAACAGCCTCACAGCCCCACTTTCCAGGACAGTGACCCAGCTGACCAAGAAGCATGAGCGCCTGCCTTCCTGAGATGTCCCTGCCCCCCTCCTCCTCCAGCTATCCTCTCCATACAGACCCATCCAAAGGAGGGACCGGGGCTCAGCAGACCCTGCCAGGTTGACAACCAAACCAGCCAGCGTGGCCTCTGGGGTCCTCTCAAGGGTCAGACCTTGGGACCTGCCCTGCCTGCACCCAGCCCTTCTCCCAAAGAGATTCTAAGAGGAGACCCCAGGGGCAGCATTCTGGGGAGAAGAACACCTGGTCATTTGTCTTGGAGATTCAGTGGCTTAGCAAACACCTTTGGGGGCTTTTTGTTTTGTTGTGTTTTGTTTTTGCTTAGAGTGTATGTTAAACTCATTGCCATCAATCAGTGTCGACTCAGGGTGACCCTCTAGGATGGGATGGAACTGAGGCTGTGGGCTTCTGAGACTGTCACTTCTTACATAAGTAGACCACCCCGTCTCGCTCCTGCAGAGCAGCGTGGTTTCGAACTGCTGACCTTGCAGTTAGCAGCCCAGCATGTAACCATTTCCCCACTGAGAGCTCCTGTAAAAAGAGCAAAGCTCTGTAAACATGCATTTCGCCATACTTTGCTTAAGACTGAGATGTGATCATCATCTACTTCAAAGAAGATTGCTTTTTATTGGGGGTGGGGGCGTGGTTTGGAGAAACTATGGGGTTAGGAGACCGGTTCCAGCATCCTACACGATTAGGATTGCAACAGTTGCAAAACGAACAGCCGTGAGAGTAGTGACGTGGTAAGACCCCTAACAGAGAGGGTTGAATGCGTGTGTCAGGAGGTTGTTTAAAGGACTCCTTCTTGAAGGAAGGGTGGAAGCTCCCCTCTCTGGCCCTTCCCTCACAAATTCAAAGTCTGAGATGCCAAGGTAAGTTAAGCGCCAAAGGCACCAGAGGCTTCTCTGAACACCTGCAGGGGAACGGCTCCATCCTGCCCCCTGGGGGTGCCTTTTTCACACTGCAGGTGCCTCCTCCCAGATGAGGCTCAGCCAGGCTCCCCCCAGCCGGTCCTAACCCAAACCCAGACCAAACTTACTGCCATTGAGTAGATTCTCACCCAGCAACCCTAGAGGGCAGGGTAGAACTGCCCCATGGGGTTTCCAAGGCTGTAAACCTTTCATCTTCCTCCTGCAGAGCAGGATATCACAGGTATTTCAAAGAGCAGCAGGCTCCTCCTGGTGGATCAGTTTAAGTGAAGCCGGTGGGATCCAAACGCCAACCTTTCTGGTATCAGCCCGGCGCCTAACCCATGGCACCACCAGGGCTCCTTGTCCAAGACCGAGGGCTGGCTGTGGCACAGCAGGGCCTTTCACCGTTCAGAAGCGAAGAGCCCAGTTCGCTCCTTTGATACAGACGACATTGAGAGTCTAGGGCAGAGGCTCCAGCACCCCCCCACCCCCACCCCACCTCCACACACCCGAGAGTGCAGGAGACACCAGGGTCCAGAGCAGTAGCAAGGGAGGCTTCCAGAGGGGTGGGTCCGAGAGGGGGTTGGACACCTGGTTCCGTTTCAGAGCGGAGGACTGGCATGAAGAGACACCTGCAGAGAGGGCTGGGTGGGGAGAGCGGGCAGAGGGCTCTGATCCCCAGGGGGGAGTGGCTGCTGCCTTGTACAGCCATCCAACGTGGCTGCTCCCGTCACAGATGGGAGACTTTTAACTTTTATTGAGATTTAATGCTTTTTGTGGCACTCACCCTCCATAGCCAACTCACCCTCCATATGCCTGTTCGCTCGGAGTTCACCTGACGTCTCACCGCTCCAAGAGGGTGCCATTCTTTGGCTTTGTCCTCTCCCCGTTCCTGGCCTCGCCCGCCTCCTCTAAGCTCCATTCAAGGGCGGCAC